TGTGTGTGTGTGTGTGTGTGTGTGTGTGTGTGTGTGTGTGTGTGTGTTTAACGAGGCACAATTTTCAGCAGATTGGAAGGAGCTGGCCCGGTGAAACTCCTGGGAAGACTGGCTTCTACGGAAGGAACAGCACTTTAGGAAGTTCCCGTGGCCGGCACGAGAAACCGAAGTTCAAGGGTTTGAGTGAGCCACAATCTGGAGAGACCGAGGTCAAGGAAGGCTGTCGATTGTCCAAGTCCTGTGCGGCCTTGGGGAGGCTAGTAAGATTAAATTCAAGGGAGATGAGTGAACCTTGGAGAGAACAAAGCTGGGTAACAATATTAATAATGGGGCTACAGATTAAATGAGCCCAGTCCTGTTCTATAAAAGGAAATTAGAACTTAGAATAGCAAAACTGTCTGAAGCTACACAACATCAAACTGGGCATAAAAAGCAAATTTTAAAACTCTCTCACTGCCATGAGTCAATACTAACTCATAGTGACCCTATAGGACAGGGTAGAACTGTCCCTTCATGTTTCCAAGACTGCTAATGCTTTCTAGGAGTAGAAAGCCCCAGCAGTTGGTGGTTTTGAACTGCTGACCTTGACTTTAGCAGGCCAAGGCATAACCCCATACACCACCAGGGCTCCTGAGAATGGCAGATTGCTCCTAACACCTGCCTACTACCTAACCTGCACCCTTCCACGCTAAAGGCAGCCCTTCCAGGCTACAGGCTGTAGGTGTTCCTTAGAACAGGGTCCCAAAAGCCTGAACTCAGCTGGGTTCCACCCTGCCCAAAGCAGCTAAATGGGCCCTCATCTTGCTGTTGCTGAGTGTGTTTCAAAATCAGCTCCTTGAGAAACTGATGAGGCTATCTGCCCATAAAGATTTACAGCCTCCTTTTTACAAAGATGGTGCCAAAGGCAAAGAAGGAAGCCCCTGCCCCTCCCAAAACGGAAGCCAAAGCAAAGGCTTGTTAAAGGTCAAGGCCCTGCTGAAAGGTGTCCACACACACACACACACACACACACACACACACACACACACACAAAGACCCACTGGTCACCCACCTTCGAGCAGCCCAAGCCCCTGAGACTGGGAAGGCTGCCCAAATACCTTGGGAAGAGCGCCCCCCGGGGGAAACAAACTGGACCACTCTGCCATCATCAAGTTCCCCTTGACCACGGAGCCCACCATAAAGAAGATCGAAGCTAACAACACACTTGTGTTCATTGTGGATGTTAAGGCCAACAAGCACCAGATCAAACAGGCTGTGAAGAAGCTCTATGACATTGCTGTAGCCAAGGTCAACACCTTGATCAGGCCTGATGGTGAGAAAGCATATGTTCGACTGGCTCCTCACTATGACGCGTTAGATGTTCCCAACAAAATCGGAATCATCTAAACTGAGTTCATCCGGCTAATACTAAATATAACATTTTTCTTTCTTTTTTTTTTTAGAAATAATTTTTGTAACATTTTTCTTTCTTAAATAAAATTTTTCAATACAAAATTAAAAAAAGGCTTACAACCTCAGAAGCCCTATATAGGTCATTATGAGTGGCCAGGAAAGACGTCCTAGTGACAGTTTGAGTCCACCGGCTGCTCCACAGGAGAAAAATGAGACTTTTTAGCTCCAGTAAAGACATACAGGCTCAAAAAAACTTTATAAATTATCAAGGGTTCATGAGGGAAGGAGGACGGAGGGAGAGGGAAGGGGAATGAGCTGATACCAAGGGCTCAAGTAGAAAGAAAATGTTTTGAAAATGACGATGGCAACAGATGTACAAATGTGCCTGATGTAATGGATGGGTTGGGATAAAAGCTGTAAGAGCCCCCAATAATTTTTTGTTTAAAGAAAAGAGTTCTGTGACAAGGCAGAAGAAATTGTTCTAGACTTGACTGTGGTGACAATTGCCCGGCTCTTCTCGACATTGTATGACATGTGGATGAAGTGCCAATAAAACTTAAAAAAAAAAAAAAGGCAGGTAGACTTGTCAAGGGCCTTGGCCTGGAGGTGTGAAGGTACTGCCTCCAGGAAACTTCTCTGGACCTGGGCCTGGATTGGAAGGTTAGAGACTGTCGTGAGAGTAGGGCCTAGAGCAAAGTCCTGGGCTCTTCCCAAACTCCAGTGCCACTCTGCTGACTCATGGCAGCCCCCTGTGGGTTTCTAAGACTGTAACTATTTACAGGAGTAGAAAGCCCAGCCTTTCTCCCCCAGAGCTGCAGGTGGTTTTGAACTGCCAACCATGAAGGTTGTAGTCCAATGAATAACCACTACACTACCAGGGCTCCTAAGTTTTCCTAGCCAATAATAATAATAATAAACAAAGACAACCTCAGACACCCAAAGCAGCAGTTCTACCCTGTTGGCGATGGGTGTGGTTGGTTTTGGTTAAGCAGGGTCCAAGCAGCCCTGGTAGCATAGTGATTAAGCATTGGGCTGTTAACCAAAATGTCAGCAGTTTGAAACCACGGGAGAAAGACAGGGTTTTCTACATCCATAGAGAGTTATAGTGCTAGGAAGTCACAGGAATAATTCTACCCTGCCCTATAGGGTGGCTATGAGTCAGAACTGACTCACTGGCAGTGAGTTAGGTTTGGGTTTTGACCAAGGTCTTCACACGCTTTATCTCCTTTATCTTGAATAGTGATGGGTTGGTCATCTTTATTCTCATTTTACTGATGAGAAAACTCAGGGAACATCATTGCTATTAAACAGCATTTGAATTCAAATTGGGTGATGGTAAGGTATGGGGTCTGCCTTGCAGAGCCCGTTTTTGGAACATAAAACACCCTAAGAAAAAGAAAAAAGAAAAAAAAAACACCCTAAGATTTCTACTTGGCAGAGGGAGGGAGGGCAAACATAGTCACAACCCCCACCCCCAAATCACCCCTGCAAAACCTACCTCAGTCCTAGGAGATAAAGAGGAACAGTGAGTGCTAGATAAGGGTGCCATCTCGTGGTAGAGATAAGTAACTACAGGATCCGTTTCAGGGTGGGGGTAGGAACACCTTCAATGCCTTGTAGCTGTCCCTGTAGGTTTCCAAGACTTTAGATCTTTATATGAGCAGACCGACCATCTCGTTGTTCTCCCTTGGAGCAACTGCTGGGATTGAACCCCTGACCTAATGGTTGGCAGCTCAATGCCCACTGCACTGGCAATGCTCCTTCCCAGAGAAAAGAGAAAGCACAGGAATAAGGGGTGGTGGCAGTCATTGCCAGGACAGACCACACCAACACAGACGCGCACCTGTTCCTAATACTTTATTGGTCACCTTAGTCCCGTACCCCGGTGGGTGGACATCTGGAAAGGGAGGGTGGGGCCACCAATCATTAGCTACCAGGGCCATGAGAAGACCTCAGCCAAGTCCTCCAAGGTCCCAGATGAGGGAGTTTCAAGGGGGTAGGCTGGCCTTTCCTGGGTCAGCACAGGTGGGAAGAGAAGACCCAAACTTGTCCCGTCAGCAGGTCTAGTTGTGCTTGGAGAAGTATTCCTTGCTGTCGTCCACATTGGGCTTGATTGTGTCGCTGCCTGGCTTCCAGCCAGCGGGACACACTGTGGGCGACACAGAGCAATGTGCTTGAGCCCCATGCTTAAGGCAGAGAAAATAGCAGGGGACCAACCAAGGCAAAGCAAGCGCCAGAGTTGCAGAAAACAAATGTACATGTTGAGAGAAGCCCTCCATTCAGTGACCCTCCAGCCCTCTAGGTTAGCCTTGCCCTTTGTCCTCACAGGCTCAGCTGCAGTGCATTCGGGCCTGGTCCCCTTCATGCTCCGATCCTCCAACTCTTTTTGGAACCTTCAAAACCTTGTCTAGTTGCCTGGCCTGTGAGAGCTGATTAATGGCCAGAGAGTCCCTTCCCCGTGAGAAGGTGCTCCTATTCAGGCAGCATGAGTCAAGCCTGACTTTGTATGTTGTTGTCGTTGTTGTTAGGCACACTGAGTCAGTTCCGGCCCATAGCGACCCTACGCACCAGAGAACAAAACACTGCCCGGTGCTGCACCATCCTCATTGACTTGGTATGTGTCTCCTCAAATACCTTTGAGGGCTCCTACTGCCTCCCAGCTCCCCATCTTTGTACTCTATTAGGGTATCTTCACCACCACCCCCAAACTAGGTGCTTCTTGAAGACAAGACCCTGAGCCGACTTGTCTGCGGGACCCTGATCCTGTCCGGCTCAGGTGGTAGGGCAGGGTAGTGAGTATTGACATGAGTGACAGAGGGGCTGAGTGTGGACCACTCACCTTCCCCATGCTCATCCGTGTACTGGAAAGCCTGGACCAGCCTCAGAGCCTCGTCCACGGAGCGCCCCACAGGCAAGTCATTGACCGTGATCTGACGAAGGACACCCTTGCCATCGATGATAAAGAGGCCCCTGAAGACATCAGGGCTCATGGTGAAATGCCAGGAACTCAAAGACCCAGAACGGGGAGGACCCAGCTTCTGCAAACCACAGGGCTGGGAGGAGAGAGGGCACTGGCCAATCGTGGAGCTCGCAGAGGGTCCCGCGGTACCTGTAAGCGATGCCTTCATCTTCCTTCAGCACACCATAGTCATGGGACAAGCTTCTGGTCACATCAGCCAGCAGGGGGATGTTCAGGGGACCCAAGCCTCCCTCCTTCCGGGGAGTGTTGATCCTGGGGATGGGGGAGACAGAACTGGGACCTCAGGAGGTCTGGGTGAGATAAGAGTGGAGTTGGGGCCCTGGAGGTGGGTGATAAGGGGCTTTACAGCAGAGCTCTGGGAGTCCCACCCACCCCACCCTGAAGTGGGGCCAGGGGGGAGGCTTAAAGCCCATTGGCTGACTGGCCAGTCCCTTGACGTTCCTCTTCTCTGGTGTTCTGACCTGGGGCTTCGCCCTGTGACTTCCCTGAACCAGAGTTTCAACCTTCATGGTGTGGAGCAACACAGCTTCCCTCCCAAAAGCCAAGGGCGAGATAAAGCATCTGTAACCGGGCGCCTGGCAACTGAGCTAATTACCGTCATCAGCCAGCATTAAGGATCGGGTGTCATTATTTCCATCATTTTCAGGATAGTTTGGAAAGGGAGGCCCAGAGTTTGAGCAATGGTCCTGAATCCACCCAGCTGGGACCCTAAGGTCAGCACCACCCCTCCTCCCGGCCATACCCCAGCCCCCACACCCACCCCTGCTCATACCAAGCCAGGTGGGTGAACTGAGAGTCCACGGAGACTCCCAGCACCTCGCAGCCCAGCTTTCGGAAGTCATCGGCGTGCTCGCTGAAAGCAATGATCTCCGTGGGGCACACGAAGGTGAAGTCCAGGGGGTAGAAAAAGAGCACCACGTACTTCCCTGGGCGGCGGGAAAGGAGGAGTTGGGGCCCGGGCCCTTTTCGGTCCCCCCTAACCCGGTGGTTCCCCGGGGCCCTCTTCGATCCGCTCTCACCTCTGTAGTCCGAGAGCTTCACCTCCTTGAAGGCGCCGTCCACTACGGCAGTGGCCTGGAAGTTGGGGGCGGGCTTTCCGATGTGTGCGTTGCCGGAGGCCATCTCTAAAAGCTGAGACACCCCCCACCCCCACCGGTCAGCCAGGGCGCCCGGAAGACCCTTTGTCTTCTCTTCCCAAGGTCACACTGCGTGGAGGGGCCCGTAAGATTGCTGCAAGCCCCACTGCACTGACACCCCCCATACACACACCCACACCCGCCGGGAGACTAGCTCTGAGCTGCGCGGCTGGGAGGCTGCGGGGACCCGCCCCCCGGACCAGCATACTAGCAGTTGCAGCCTGGGCCCCTCCGCCTCGGAGGGTTGGCCTGAGCGGGGTGGCGCAAGCCCCCAGACCCCGGAGGAGACCACGAAGGCCCCCGCAAGTAGGAGATGGGGAGCGGGGCGACCTGGCCTGTAGCCCCAGGTTCGGGCCTCGATCCACCCCCTCCCCTCCGCGCAAGTACAAAGGCGGCCACTGCGCGCCGAGGGCCGGAGGCAAACAAAGGGAGGTCAGGGGAGGGCCCGAGCTATTCCAAAGGGGCGCACTCAAGAGGCCATACCTGCGTGGGCTAGGGCCAGACGTACGGACAGGCAGAAGCGCGGACTCACGTTCTCTGCGTCAGGTGCACCCTGGGCCGCCCGAGCCTTTTATGCGCCGCCCGACCCGTGACGCGCGTGGCGGGCGGGGCGGTCGCATCCACTGCGCCCCGCCGAGGGAGGAGCGCAGCCGGTCGAGTCCATGCGCTGGCAGGAGGCTGGGGGCGGGGGAGACCTGCAGCCGCGGGCCACGACCGCCATGCAAGCCGGCCCCCGGGAGTGCGAGCGCTTGGGGCTCTCTCAGGGCCAAGGTCAGGAGCGCGCGGCGAGCGGTTGGAGTCCGGCATGGCCCGGAGCCCGGCGGCGCTGCTGCTCCTGCCTCTGATGCTCCGGATGGTAGCGACGTCCGGCCAGGACTCCTTCGAGTACCAGTACTTCGGCGAGTTCGGCGAAGGCGACACCTGGGAGCAGCTGGGGCGGCTGCAACAGGAGAAAGGTAAGCGGCGGCGGCGGCTGGGTGCGGTGGGTGGTGGGTAATGGTGCCCAATGGAGGTCTTCCGCACGACGTTTCTTGCAGAGGTGGCTGCAAGCAGGCCTCGCCCCCCACCCCCACCCCCACCCCGGACTCCAGATCCTCCCTGGCGGCCTTCCCTTGGCGGTTACTTTGCTCTGGGGTTCAGTTTTCCCATCTGTCAACAGTCTGCCAAGAAGCAGCTCTAGGAGCCCTGGTGGCTGAGTGGGCTATGCACTGAGCTGCTAACAGCCAGGTTAGCAGATCGAACCCCCCAGCCGCTCTGCGGGAGACTGATAGAGTTGTCTACTCCTGTCATTTGAGTAGGAATCAGCTTGATGGCAGTAAGCGCAAAAGCTCCTGGGTCGGGTGCTAGGGAGGACTTTAGAGAAGGGGAGGGGTCCACTGAAGAAGTGGTAAACAACCACTGCCTCCGAAATGACAGCCCCAAATGCAGGAGTCGGGGTGTGGGTGGGGAGTACCCAGGGAAGGAGAATAGAAGGCCTTCCAGAGGAATGGAAAGAGGCCAGAGCTGTGGAGACCTGTGGGGGAGTGTTGTAGGAAAGGTCTCAGGGCCTCCCCGCTCGGGAATCGGGCCTCACACATAGAGAGGGGAATTAGCAAAATAAGCCACTGAACCCACACCCAACATAAGCCAAAACCCACTGCCATCAAGTTGATGCTAACTCATAATAGCCCTACAGGGCAGAGTATGGCCTGTGAGTTTGCAAGACTCTAATTCAGTGCTGCAACCCTTTAATACGGTTCCTCATGTTGTGGTGACCCCCGCCCCCGAACCATGACATTATTTTCGTTGCTACTTCATAACTGTAATTTTGCTACTGTTATGAATCGGGCGACCCCTGTGAAAGGGTTGTTCAACCCCAAAAGGGGTCAAGACCCACAGGTTGAGAAACGCTGCTCTAACTGTACTGGAGTAGAAAGCCCTGTCTTCCTCCAAGGGAGTGGCTGGCGGTTTCAACCTGCTGACCTTGCAGTTAGAAGCCCAACGAGGCCATCAGGGCTTCCAGAAACGACATCCAGAAAGTGCTTAATAAGTAGCAGCTACTTGACAAGTGAGCCTAGGAAGTGTTTTTGTTCCGTGTGCTAACACGCCGCCAGCGGCTTTAAGTATCTTCATTACGCCATTTAATTATGTCATTTAATTTACCACCCAACAGCCCTGCCTGTCTGGTGGCATTGTGCCCGCTGACCAGGCGGTGGCCACGCCCCTGAGACCAGAGTCAGCTTCTGAACACTAAGGGTGTGTGTCAAACTCCCAACTGGTATCTGAGTCCAAGAGGGTGGCTTGCTCTCTCTAAGGCTGTTTCTGCACCTGGCTCTGGGGGTACAGGAAGGCATCTTGGGATGGTACCCCTCTACACTCTATATGGGGTTGTCATTTCACCCCTCCACCTCCAGACTCCATCCTGAGCCCGTGGGGAAAGTGGCGCTGTCTCTGCGGCCTGGGGAAGGAGGAGCGCAGCCGTGAGGTGCTGGGCACGGCACCTGGCCTGGTGTTCATGGACCGCAAGAACCTGGTGCAGACCAGGCCCTGCCGGAAACACAACTGCCCATCCTGCAAGCCTATGGAGTGCAACTGGGGGTCCTAAGCCCAGGTGAGGACCCAGCGTAGAGAGGGTGAGGCCTAGCCAGGACTGTCCAGTCGCAGGAGTCTGGCAGGGAGAGTCAAGTATGGCTCTCTGTGGGACGGGGACTCAAAATCAGGGAGCTTGACCTTGCTGTGCGACAGGGTCCACTGTCCCCGAAGTACAGAAGAAAGCCAATAGGGGCAGGGATGGGAAGGCACAGAGGGGTGACATAGGACCGTTTGCCTGGTGAAGGGCAATGACCCATTGGCAGATGACCAGAGCCCCTCAGAAAGCCAGGGAGAGGAAGAGATGCAGTAATGCCCCCAGGCAGAACTGGGAAGAGCCCCCTTGAGATTGGGGGGAAAGAGAAAACTGGTAAGGAGCTGAGGGAGAGGAGGGTAAAGAACTTAAGTTGGAGGAATGAGCCACGTGGAGAGTAGGAACCCTAAGTCTGAGGTCGTAAACCTGTTCTAGTATGGGATCCCCATTCTTGAGTGCCTGAACCTCAGCCGAGTAACAAAGATAGAAGGAAGGGTCCCATAGAGGCAGGAATCCCAATTCTGAGTGGATAACAGAGACAGGATGAGTGGTGACCCCAAGACTGAGCTTAGACTAGGAGAGGGGAGATGAGGATCCCGAGTACAAAGGGCTGCATTCAAGTAGGAGACCGAGATGCGCAGACTCATGTTTGGGTAATATACAGGGCCGGCTCCTTCATGTCGGCCTCAGTTTCCCCTTTTATTTCCTTTTCTTCCCATTAGTTCCTGTGGGCGAGGATCTGGAGCTCGTTAAAAGGAGGTTGGAAAGAAACCGGGTCCTGATCGTAAGCGCTTTGAGGTCGATATTGAAAACTACAATTCCCAGGAAGCTGCGCGCTGTAGCTGCGCGCACGGCCACGGCGTCGTGAGCGTCCAGGGCGGGTCCTGTGAGCGCCTATTGGTCGGCAGCGGAAGTCGCCGCCGAGCCCGCCTAGCAGCGCGCGCAACCCCGCGCAGCCCGGGTCTCTGCAGAAGCCGGTGGCAGCACAGTGGTGGCGACATGGATCTCAGCGAGCTGGAGAGAGACAACACGGGCCGCTGTCGTCTGAGCTCACCTGTCCCCGCGGTGTGCCACAAGGAGCCTTGCGCCCTGGGCGTGGATGAGGCTGGCCGGGGTCCAGTGCTGGGTGTGGCCAAGGACCAGGGACGGGGCAGGGCCGGCGGGGGTGTGTGGGGGTGGGGAATCATTGATGATGGAATTGGGGTGGGGGTTTTCATGGGTACGCTGCTTAGACTTGGGAGTTACCTCCACTTCCCAAAACCTGACACCTCGTCCCTCCCCCGCCTCTTCAGGCCCCATGGTCTACGCCATCTGTTACTGTCCTGTGTCCCGCTTGGATGCCCTGAAGGCCCTGAAAGTGGCAGGGGAGGGCGTGGTTTAGGGGGAAGGACATCAGGGAAGGTGGTTCCGGGGCTTGTGTGAACTGCAGGAGGGAGGGAGGATGGCAGGGACCCAGAGAAACCGGAACCTTCTCCTAACCCTCCTCCCAGACTCAAAGACCCTGTCGGAGAGCGAGCGGGACCGGCTCTTTGCAAAAATGGAGGAGGACAGAGACTTTGTGGGCTGGGCGCTTGACGTGCTCTCTCCAAACCTCATCTCCACCAGCATGCTTGGGCGGTGAGAGAGACCCGCAGTCGCGGGAGTGGAGGTGCAGGCGGCGGGCGGCCATAGAACATGGGCAAGTTTGGCTGCCTGGTGGGCAAAGGGGTTAGCTCGGCTCTGCTTTTCCACCTTAGGGTCAAATACAACCTGAACTCCTTATCCCATGATACTGCGGCTGGGCTGGTGCAGCATGCGATGGACCAGGGCGTGAACGTCACCCAGGTGAGCCCCAGTGTTCTGGGACCTGGGTTGCCCTCACCTGAGCCCTGTTGAAGAAGCATGGGAGGGTGGGGCGCAGGTCCAGCATTCCGAGGTTTGGCAGACAGGTGCCTCCACAGTGTGTATGGTTGCTATTGACCTTCTACACCCGTTCCTGCTTGAAATGTGTGTCCCACCAAGGACCAGTGTGGAGACTCCAGTCTGCGCCCGCCCTCCCACCACCAATCTAATTTTTCTTCCTGAAGACCCGGTATCCAGAACCAGTCTCACCCGCCCACAACCTCCATCCTAGCCCAGGACCCCCCCAGCTGGGCTCATGCTTCAGCTTCCTCTGCAGTTTGCCCACTTCCAGGCCTGCTCCCTCCCCCTTCTGACCACCCATTTACAAACCTCAGGATTAAATTAGGGAAGCTCACCGGTGAGTCGGACCCAGTGCTGTGGAGTCCATTCTGACCGATAGCCCTACATCTTCGTAAATGTATTATTTTGTTGTTTCTTAGCTGTCTTATTAGCACTTTATCTGCATGTGATGTGATACAATTCAGTAATTCTATCGTATCAAGAGCTGTACGATTGTCAGCATAGGCAATTCTAGAACATTTTCTTTCTTGTAGCCATTGTTAGTCGTGTCATTACTAATTTTTTTCTAATTGTGGCCAAAAATATATATAACAGAACATTCCCAATCCCACTTCTACTTGTATAATTCAGTCATTGATTATACTCTTCAATGCTGTACAGCCACTATTGATATCCTTTTCCAAATTATTGTACCACCATTGACATAAACTCAGTGTCCCCCACACAACAACTCTTTCCCCCTTGACCTATGGTAACCTTTGATTAAGTTTGGTTTCTTAACTGTTTTTTTTTCATGGTTTTCTTGATAGAGTATTTACATAATATACTTCCATGGTTACATCACTTTTAAAATGAGTTGAATTTAGTCCTACATCCTTTTAAAATATATATATATATAAATCATTTTATTTGGGGCTCTTACAACTCTCATAACAATCCATATATCAATTGTATCAGGCACACTTGTACATATGTTTCCCTCCCTCCTCCACCCTCCGGAACCCTTAATAAATTATATATAAATTATATATTATTATTATTTTCATAGCTTATACCATCCACTGTTTCCCTTCACCCCCTTTTCCGTTATTTGTCCCCCTCAGTGAAGGCTAAACATCAATCATTGTAATCAGTTCCTCCTTTTTCCCCTGTCTCCCCCCACCTTCATTCTACCCTCATGGTATCAATCCTCCCACTACTGCTGTTGAGCAGTTTATCTGTCCTGGATTCCCTGTGTCAAGAGCTCTTATCTGCACCAATGTATATGCTCCCGTCCAGCAGGATTGGTAAGGTAGAACAGGGGTCATGACTAGAGGACTGTTATGTGTTTTGTCAGTGCTATACTGCACCCTGGCTGACTCGTCCATTCCTGTGACCCTTCTGTGAGGGGATGTCCAGTTGTCTACAGATGGGCTTCTAGGTCTCTACTCTGACCCCCCTCGTTCGCATCGATATAATTGTTTGTTTTGGATCTTCTGATGCCTGGTACCTGCTCCCGTCGACACCTCATGATCACACAGGCTGGTGTGCTGCTTCCATGTGGGCTTTGTTGCTTCCCTGCTAGATGGCAGCTCATTGAATTTCAAGCCTCTAAGACCCCAGATGCTATATCTTTTAATTTTTTTTATTTTTAAATGATCATTTTATTAGGGGCTCATACAACTCATCACAATCTGTACATACGTCATCTGTGTCCAGCACTTTAGTACATATGTT